TCTTCCTCAGCTTGGCTGTGGTGTTCCTTGTGGTGGAAGCACAAGGTTGGCATGGAGCTGATGAGAAACTCACTGTACCTTGCTGCACTCACCTTCCTTCAGGTTCCAGGGTCTTCTGCTTTGGGCACTTGAAAGCAGTTTGAGAGGAGTCCTTGGTTAGCAACTGTTGTCTCCTCTGACTCGTGGTCAGGTCCTGGCTGAGTGCAAGTCTGCTGAGACAGAGTGGGTGAGTGAGGCTGACTGACCTCTGTCCCACTCAGGTGAGGGGAGGTCTGGCTGGAATGGAATTGCAGCTTCAGCTGGTGGATGGACACAGGAGTTCCCTTGTGCTGAGGCTTGTGGTAGCAGAGAAGCCCTTGATGAGCTCCAGTTCTGAGTGAGCAGTGAGATTACAGGTTCAGAACTGGGCACCTTGCCAGTGTCAGAGTATTTTTGCTCCTGAAACTTACCTAAATATTTGGATTATTTCTCCTTCATTTTCAGAGTCTCAGCCATGAGAACTCTCTGCTAGACGCTCCTCTCGTGTCTTGTCACTGAAGATAAAAACCAAACTCTCAAGGGCTCTAATTTCTCTTGTTTGCCTCAGGGTCCTCAGTCCCTCTCCATGCTGCTCCTCACTTTTTCACCTCCTTTTACTGCTGAGCTGCCCAGGCACTGCTGCTGGCTGGACCACCACCTAAATTCCAGCATCCTGATACCTCTGCTGTGCCCTTCTCTCTTCCTCGGGGGATTTTAGGAGCTCTGAGTAGGAGGTGATGTCACGTTGGCATCCTGTGCTGCTCCAGGTCTGGCAGGTCCCGTGCCAGGCTGGGTGCTGCTGCCTCACAGCTGTGGAATGCTCAGCTTGTGCTGGCTTTGAAAACAAGGTGACATTCTTGGAAAGTTTTCATGGTTTTTAACCTGCTGCTTGTTCTCTCTTGGACTTTCAGCTGGCTCCTTGTCCTGCTCTCAGGGTCAGTATCTGCTGTGAGGACTTCCACAGGAAAGGTTTGGAGGGAAATGGTTGGCAGCTGTGGCAGCTGGAGTGATGGAAACAGGAAAATTGGAGTGCTGTGAAGAGGAGGTTGGTGCTGGAAAACAAACCTGCTCTGGAGAGGCTTCTCAAAGGTTTTTGAGTCAGGTAGGGATGACTGTGACACAGGAACTGCTCTGCTCCTGCCACTGCACTTGGTGGTGGCCACGTGCAGATGGTTTGTGTCACTGCAGGCAAGCTCAGGACAGAATTCCAACAGTGAAACCAAAGATCTTGGGTAAGGCAGTGATGTGTAAATTCCTCCCAAGCAGGTTATTGTGCACTCAGAGAGCAGCTTGGACATCCTGCCTGGGGTTTGGGTGTCCAGATGTGGCAGCACAGAGCTGTGAGGTGATTCAGCATTTCTCAGGCTGCAAAGGAAGGAGATCCAGGCATTTCTCAGGCTGCAAAGGAAGGAGATTGAAGCATTTTTCAGGGTAGCAAAGGAAGGAGATCCAAACACTTCCCAAGGCTGGAAGTAAGGAGACTCAAGCAGTCCTGTGTGCTGACACTTGAGCTTGGCCTGTGGACTCTGGAAAAATAGATGACTCTTAGCAGCTTCAGTTTAGAAACTCTGTGTGAAAGCTCTGTCCATTCCCAAGCTGGGAATTGGGAAGAGATTGAAGCATTTTTCAGGGTAGCAAAGGAAGGAGATCCAAACACTTCCCAAGGCTGGAAGTAAGGAGACTCAAGCAGTCCTGTGTGCTGACACTTGAGCTTGGCCTGTGGACTCTGGAAAAATAGATGACTCTTAGCAGCTTCAGTTTAGAAACTCTGTGTGAAAGCTCTGTCCATTCCCAAGCTGGGAATTGGGAAGGATTCTGTGATTCCATTCCACAGTGAGAAGAAAAACACCTGAGGCTGGTAAAGCATCCAGAGTTTATATTCTTGTGATCCAGGACTTGTGACCTTGGTGTGAAAGCTCTTCAGTGCTGAGAGCTGAGGCTGAAAGGCTTTTCCAAGGCATGTGGTCATTCTTAGAATCACAGAACTGAAGGGTTGGAATGGACCTTCCCATTCACTGCTGTTGTAGGCCCCAAGATCAAGCAGCAGTGCAAAGAGGTGGCAAAATGCAGCAGAGTAAAGGGTTTGCAAACCATTCAGGCAAGAGTTAACCTGAATTCAGGTCTGATTTCTGGCAGTGTTTTGCTGAAAGATGTGGTGCCCTCAGAATGTGACCGTTAGCAGCTCAGAGGTGATGCTGTACACTGGGACAGTGGCAGAGCTAGAACAAACATTGGCACCTGAGGCTTCTTTTGCCCCTGTTTGCTGTCAGGGAACACTTCCCTGGAGTAGCTGCAGGGGTGTTGTTCTGTGCAGACAGTGCTAGGAACCAGCTTAATGTCACAGCTGAAATCTGTGTCTGTATTGCAGCTGAAGCACATGAAGGTGTCTTTGCTGATAGTGATGTTGGCTCCAGATCCAGTGGTGTTAAGGACTCCCCAGTCCAACCCTTGAAGCAAGGAAGGAAAACTAAAGTCTGTTTCTGACCAGTTTTCTCTAGTTTGTGTTTCTAGCTGTCCAACCTTCCTCTCCTTGCTGAAGAACACGAAATTGCAGAGTATTTCCTGCCTCATTTTCCCCAACGAACATCTTTATACAACTTACAGCCTGAAGTGCCAAGGATGGAATTAAGGATTTGATCCTGAGAAACCATTTATAGCACAGCAAATGTGACTTTAACCTTAACCTTTCATGTTCCTAGTCAAAGGGAAGAAGCAGCTATTGACTATTAATTTTACTGTTCTCATGTCATGTTGGCTCTGCACATTTGGGGATTAAAGGCCACACACTGTTGAGGTTTGGCTGCTCTTTCTTTCTTGCATGTTTTACCCTCCAGAGGGGAGAAAGTTAGCCCAGGTGAGGTTAGGGGAATGGGTGGGAGACTTGGCTCTGTCTCCTCTTGCACATCAGGGAGACACTTGGTGCTGCTCCTTTGCATCTGTCAAGGGTGAGATAATCAGGTGAGGTTTGAGGGGCTGTTTGTGCCCCCACCTCTGCTGGGATGTCGCTTCCCTCTCTGCTGCTGGGAAGCCTCACATGTACAGGTCTCTGCAGGGAAGAACTGTGGAATTTTTTGCCCACTGTGCCTTGATGGAACTTATACAGCTGCTTCACTGAGATCCTGAAGATTCCTGCTCTTGAGTTGTCCTTGTTGTTTCCCAAGTTGTCTGTTCAGGCAGTACAGAGGCTGATAAACTCCTCCTCCTCCTCCTGCCTGGCAGCATTTAGAACCAGGCCCTCCCCTGGGCACAGCAGGATGTGCTGCTGTCTCTGCAGCTAGAGAGAATCACAGAAGGGCAGGCTTGGAATGGACCTTACAGATCATCTAGGCAGGGATGGTTGGGACTAGATGATCTGTAAGGTGCATTCCAACCCTTCCGTTCTATGATTCTGATTCTGGAAAATAAGTGACTTCTACCCTCTCTGAAGGTATTTCTACCAAGCCTAACCTCTCTCACCCACAGTCCTGGGGAAACAGCTTGGTCAGCCACAGGTTCTTGTAATAGGACTTTCCCCATCCTAGTAGAGCTGTGGTTTCTGGCAGCGATTCAGAGCTCCAGGCTCTCCTTTTCAGCTGTCTGGAGGAGGCTGAAGTGGTGGTACAGCTAAGTGGAGCCTGGTGGCAGCCAGAGCAGCCCTGAAACGCCGCAGGAAAAGTGAAGTCTGCAATCCTCTCTCAGGCACCTGAGGTTGGCTGGAAACTTCCTGGAGGGACAGACAAAGGAACCAGCACTCCCTCTGAAGTTGGGAGCACTTTGCTCCATCTACAGCCCCTTCCTAGGTGCCACAGCCTAGGTCCTGTCCCAGCCCTCAGGGCAGTTTATCAGCACACAGCACACACGTGTGCAGCTCTGCAGAGAGCACAGCTCTCCCCTTGGCTTCCTCAGCTTCCCCAGGCCTGAAAAACACAGGACACTGATGTCAGCACGAACACTCACTCCCCACGCAGCCTGAGGGAAGCCCAAAAGGGCTGGGAATGTTCTTTGATTGAAGATCTGTCAGATGAGCAGTGCTGAACAGGCTTAGCCTACGGTTACTGGCACACAGCTGTTTGCTCTCCCTGCCAGCAGCACAGATCCTCAGCAGAGAGAGGTAACTCTGAGCTCTAGGTGTGGATTTTCCTGCCAGGGCTGAGGGAGAGGAGAGAGGGAATGGCCTTGAGCTGAGCCAGGGCAGAGTCAGATTGGATGTGAGGAGAAATGTTTTCCCTGTTGTGGTGTTGAGGCCCTGGGATATTGCCCAGGGAGGTGGTGCAGTCACCATCCCTGGAGGTGTTTCAGAGGTGTCTGATGTGGCACTGCAGGATCTGGGTTAGGGTTTGGGGGTTCCAGCAGGGACAGGTTCATGGTTGGACTCAATGATCTTCAAGCCTTGATGATTCTATGATTCTTAGTTTCCCTGACAGCAAAATCAGCTAGATTTGAGCAACTTCACTAGAAAAAGGAAACAAACAATTCACTTCTGCTCTTCTCAAAGAGGAAATCTCTCTACCTTCATAATTTTTCTGTCCCTTTTCCTTCCTCAAGAAGGAGTTTTAGGGCAGCCTCAATCAGTTGTGAAGAACATGCAGCAGAGGCTGAACATGGCAGTTCACTGTCTATTGTAGAACACTTGTTTTATTTATTTTTAAATCTACCTCAAGCTCTAGAAGGCATTTTACAATGCTGAGCCTCACCAAGAATAATACTGCTCATCACTTGTGTGGCTTGCACAGCCACTGTTGTCCTTCTGGCTCACTGGGCAGCACCACATCAGGGACCTGCCAAGCATCACCCATCAACAACAAAAACTGGCAGCAGGGCAGAGTATTTGGAGGATGAGCATGGACAGAGCAGAGCACTGCAAACCAGCACTGCTGTCCAAGTCTGTCCAGGCACTCAGGATTCTCTCCCAACGCTGACTCAGTGGCACTGCACAAGGGCTGGTTCAGAGGGGACACTGCAGGGCAGGGTGAGAACAGGTTCCTGGACACCCTGGGGGCACATTAACAGCCTCCCCACGTCAGCCTTGCCATGTGGTCAGTCTTCTGCTTGCTTGGCTTGATGAAGCCCAGGAGCTCCAGCTCGGACACGGCGCGGACGAAGCGAGCGCTGGGTGACCCGTGAAGGAAACAGGGATGGAGACACTTCTCTCTAGGAGGGGAAGATTTCTGCAGCATGGGAAGCATGGATTACCCAACGTGTGGTGGTGCACAACAGGATTGTTGGAAGGAAGGGCAGAGCATGATTTACCTACAGAAGCTGCAGCCTAATCAGTACTGACTTTGCTCCATGTGCAACAAAGGGAGAGTTCCTTTGCCACTGCTGAGGGGAGCTTAGAGCCTACAAAGATACTAATTCTGTACTCTCTTAGAAGAAAGAATTAATCCCTTCATGTCCCTTGAGAAAAAAATGGAAAGATAATTAGAGATGATTTTTGAAGCTTCATGAAACAGCACAACCTTTTCCTCAGTTTCTATTCACTGCACCATTCTTGCTGCCTCCCTGACACAGCTTTCTATCCTCAGGAAAAGAGTTTAGCCCTGCTCAGGCCCTGGGATATGGCCCAGGGAGGTGGTGCAGTCACCATCCCTGGAGGTGTTTCAGAGGTGTCTGATGTGGCACTGGAGGATCTGGTTGAGGGTTTAGGGGTTCCAGCAGTGACAGTTAAAGGCTGGACTTGATCTTAAGAGGTCTCCAGCCCTGATGGTTCTATGTGCAACTGTTGCTATTTCTCTATCTGCTTTCTAGGTCACAGCTCTCCCATCACTGCCAGGGTTGGGGCAGCCACAGCCTCCCTGGGCACCCTGGGACAGGGTCTCACCACCAGAACAGGCAAAACTTCTGCCTAACATCTAACCTCAATTTCCCTCCTTCACTTTGTGCCCATTGCCCCTTGTGCTGTCCCTGCAGCTCCTAACAAGAAGGCACAACATGAAGCTGTAAATCCTGTAAGCATTTGAGTGTGAAGAGAAATAGAAAAGGATACTGGATGATATCATCCACCTGGCCTGAGGAAGCTGCAGCTGCATCTGGTTCCTGAGCTGCTGTCACCACAGTTGAGAAAGCCTAGAGAGGGAAAAGCAATACAGATTTAATACAGTTCATACACAGACAGAACCACAGAATCATCAGAGCTGGAAGGGACCCTGAGGATCATCAGTCCAACTCCTGCCCTGCACAGACATCCCTGACAGTCACACCCTGTGCTGAGAGCATTGGCCAAACACCTCTGGAGCTCTGTCAGCCTTGGGGCTGTGACACTGCCCTGGGAGCTGTTCAGGGCCCAAACACCTCTGGGGAAAGAAGAACCAGTTGCTAATCTCAGCCTAACCCTGCCCTGACACAACTCCAGCCCATTCCCTGGGCCCCGAAAAATTAAATATAAGGTATACATATATGAACTCTATATAAACCAGTGAGCTCTGAGCAATGGTTACTCCCAGGAGGAATGAGACCTTGCACTGCTAACTCTGTGAACATGTCAGCTGAGCAGCAATCAAAGGAGGTGACAGATTACCATGGCAGAATGGAAGGTATCACTGTGAACTCCTGTGCATTTTGACCTGGGTCCCTGCAGTCTGGTGGGCAGAGGAGTGCAGTGATCTGAGCTGCAGAAGGAGCACTGGAGCCAGGCAGAGATGCAGCACAGAAGGTCAATCAGAGCACTGGACACAGGGAAAGGTGTTGGTGTCTCCACATACCTCTAACCAATCCACCAGATTGATTAATCTGCCACACTCCAAGTGAAGCTTATACACGATGCAGATGTCAGGGGCCTTGTTGGAAATGCTTCCCCCATCACACTTCAGAGCTTGATTCTGGTGGGAGAGAAAAATTGAAGGAAAGATCAGTAAAGCACAGTAAAACCTTGGTCAGATTTTAATTTTTAAGGGCTGGGTCCAATCTTAGCTCAATGGGAGGTGTTTTACCCAGACGTTTGCTGCTTGGTTATCATCCAGTTGATCATACAGAGAGGAAACAAACAGGAAAATAACAAAACATACCACTAAACCAAAACCCAACTAAAGCTACTTCACTCCTGGTGTTAGTTCTGTAGTGCTATTCACTTCTGTGCACTGTAATGAGTGATTATCTGATCAGGCTGTTACCCAATTCTCTGGCTAGTTCTATTCACACAGGAGAGAGAAATACTCTTTTATGGGCTCAGGAAAAGAAACTAGTCATAATTTGCTGATGCAGAAAATAGCAAAGCATCTCCTTCTCTCCTGCTTCCCTGGAGGGAAGAGGAAGATTTGCTACCAATCTGTCAGATGTACTAAAAAGCAAAATTCCTTCTCTCATCTCAGTTTTATCTTTGGAGTTGATCTCTGGCTTCAAACTCAGAGCCTATAAAGGCAAAGGTCTGACTGCTCACCAAGTATTCTGCAGTTCAGGAAATGAATGGAACTGGTGAGGTTAGGAGAGCTCTAAGATCATCAAGTCCAACCACTGACCCTAAGTGCCACATGGACATGTCTCTTAAATCCCTCCAGGGATGGTGACTGCACCACTTCCTTGGGCAGCTGTGCCAGGGCTGGGCAGCCCTTTCTGGGAAGAAATATTCCTTAATATCCAACTTGAACCTCCCCTGGTGCAACCTGAGGCTATTTCCTCTCATCCTAGAGCTTGTTAACTGGGAGAAGAGCCCAAACCCCACCTCTCTCCAGCCCTGGCAGGAGTTGCAGAGAGCCAGGAGGTCACCCCTGAGCCTCTTCTCCAGGCTGACCAACCCAACTCCCTCAGCCCTTGCCCATGTGCTCTGCCCTTTGCTGCCCTCGTTGCCCTTGGCTGGACTCGCTCAGTGCCTCAATGGCCTTTGGGCAGTGAGTGCCCAAAGCTGAGCACAGCACTGAGCTGGGACCTCCCCAGTGCCCAGTGCAGGGGGATGACACTGCCCTAGTGCTGCTGCCACACTCTGCTGAGCCAGGACAAGGTGCCCTTGGCCTCCTTGGCCACCCTGGTGGCTCATGTTCAGGTCCTTCCCTGCTTGGCACCTCTCCAGTCACTCAGATTCAGGTCATCAGCACTGAACCAGTCACTTGGGAAGGACAAAACCCACTTGGGCCAGAGGCAAAAGTCTCTGAGCTGCAGAGATTTACAGCACTGAACTTCAGTTCCATGCACCCTAAGAAGCCAACGTAGAAACAACCACTGACCTTTCATGGATCTTTCCTAAAATGCTTTTACATGCTAGTAAAATGTACAGGTCCCTTTGGGACGTTTACAGCTGTAGCAATGATACCTTCATAAACAACTGCTTTCCAAGACAGGAAAGAAGGTTGGACAAAAAATATAATTTTGCTCAAGAATCTCTAGCTCACCTTTCATGGGTCTCAAGGGGCATCTAGGACTAAGGTCCAGTTTGGACTCTAGAACCCCTAGCAATTTTCAGGTTTATTTGTTCTCTATGAGGAACACAAAAGCTGCAAACATTAGGTTAATGTCTCTCAGTTCAGTCACAGAAACATCAAGGCTGGAGGACACCTCTGAGCTCATCGTGTCCAACCATGAACCTGTCACTGCTGGAACCCTTGAAGAAGGGAAGAGAAGGTTGTGTGGAGAGCTCAGAGCACCTTGCAGGAGCTGAAGGGGCTCCAGGGAAGCTTCAGAGAGATCTGTGTTAGGAGCTGCAGGGACAGCACAAGGGGCAATGGGCACAAATTGAAGGAGGGAAATTGAGGTTGGATGTTAGGCAGAAGTTTTGCCTGTTGTGGTGGTGAGACCCTGTCCCAGGGTGCCCAGGGAGGCTGTGGCTGCCCCAACCCTGGCAGTGTTCACAGCCAGGTTGGCTGAGCCTTGAGCAACCTGCTCTGGTGGGAGGTGTCCCTGCCCAGGGCAGGGCTTGGGGCTGGGTCAGCTCTGAGCTCCATCCCAACCCCTAAAATCCTATGATTCTATAATTTGAAACTATTATGGCACACTCCTGAGTTACAGGCTGACAAACCCATGTCTCACTGTAACAGATATGACTAGCACAGGCTCTGGATCCCTCACACAGAACTCTTCCCAGAATCAGCCTCTTTATTCCAGGAGACAAATTCCCTAAGCTCTCTGGACAAACTCCCCAGCTGCTTATCAACTCTTGCTGGTTCTCTGCAAAACACTTGAATGTTTGCCAAGCCTCATGAAACAGCAAAACTGAGCCTGGGCCACCACCCTCACACTTAGCCCTCAGCAGGTTCTCCAGCAGCCCAAAGAACTCTGTGCTCCTTACCTTGAGGTAGCAGTATGGGTTGTTCAAGGCTGTGTGCAGAGCAGTCCTGGGGGCAGCGCTGAGGTGCCCACGGAGCACTGAGGCTGTGTTGAAATACACCACCTCGTGCAGTGTCCTGTGGTCTGCAGGGACCAGGTATCTCCTGCAGAAGCATCAGGGGGAAGGAGGGGAGTCACAAGCTTTAGCTTGAGGGACACAACAGAACTGTGCTGCACTCAGAGCCTACAAGGAGTTATGTTTCCCAACCAAATCTCTGAGAAAACAAGATGAACTGCACTAAAATAAAACTTGGGAGTAGAGAAATCTGTTATTATCCACTCTCCATCCAAGGGATTTAGCACAGAACTCCAGCTGGGCCAGCTAAAATGTTAACACCAGCTTTGTACTCCACAGCCCTTGCTTATCCATCTTGAGGCCTCGTGATGAGTCTCTGCTCATCTTTGTCTTCATATTTGAGCTGGATGAAGCCTTGAGCAACCTGCTCTGGTGGGAGGTGTCCCTGCCCAGGGCAGGGCTTGGGGCTGGATGATCCCTAAGGTCCATTCCAACCCCTAAATTCTATGATCCCATGCTATTTGAAGCTTTTCTCTTGGTACAGTCATAATTTTGTTAGCTCCTCTGCCTCCCCCCCTGCCCTCATCTCTTCCCTCACCACAACAAGCCTTTCACATTTTCCCCTCCAAACTCTATCTGCTGTGGTTTTCTCACTGAAAACAGCTCCCAGCATGGACAGGATATCACACTTGACATCTGCACCATTTCCTATGTAGAACAGAGCAGCAAAGATTAGGGTAAAAGCTACTTTGACAGATATACTCAGTCCCCCCTTGACTTTATCTCTGTAGCCAAAGCAAGTTGGTCAATTCATATGCCAATTATTTCAATTAATCTATGTAAAAGAGATTTTTTATCTCAGCTATTATTTTTAGAGCCCTCAAAGGGAACAAACTGAAGGAGGGAAATTGAGGTTCGATGTTAGGCAGAAGTTTTGCCTGTTCTGGTGGTGAGACCCTGTCCCAGGGTGCCCAGGGAGGCTGTGGCTGCCCCAACCCTGGCAGTGTTCACAGCCAGGTTGGATGAGCCTTGAGCAACCTGCTCTGGTGGGAGGTGTCCCTGCCCAGGGCAGGGCTTGGGGCTGGCTGAGCTCTCAGCTCCATTCCAACCCCTAAAATTCCATGATGATTCTATGAAAGAGAGAACAGGAAGGAAGAAAACCCCAAGTGTGCTGCAGGGACCAAGACAGAGTTTTGACAAGATTAACATGCTCATATGGTGAGTAAAATTTCTGTCCTGGTGCAAACAAGTGCAGGAGGATAAAAGGGCTAAAACTTACCTGACAAGATTGTCTATGTAGTCAACAACTTCCAATCGAAGCACTTCAAACTTGGTCATCACTTTCTTAGACCTCCTTGACTCCTTCAGCTCCAACAGAGTCTTGAAAACAAAGGGGTGGATAAAACACATGGGAGGCAGTTATTGTCTGGAGAACACAGTCTATATGTGTAACACACAGGATTAATTTGCTGATGCTGTTTGAATGGCTGATCATGCAGTGGTTTTCATCTAGGCCAATGTGTTCCGTTCTCAAACCCTTAGGAGTTTGGGAAATCCAAAGATGTATGTGCTGGGCAGAATGTTTAAATCATCAACTAAGCAGAATGTGAGTGGTGAGACCCTGTCCCAGGGTGCCCAGGGAGGCTGTGGCTGCCCCAACCCTGGCAGTGTTCACAGCCAGGTTGGATGAGCCTTGAGCAACCTGCTCTGGTGGGAGGTGTCCCTGCCCAGGGCAGGGCTTGGGGCTGGGTGAGCTCTCAGCTCCATTCCAACCCCTAAAATTCAGTGATTCTATGAATGTTTCAATAGCATGTTAAACAGAAAGAAAACATCCAATTTGATTTGTAAAATCCTGGTTTAGGACAGGTGTTTTCTATCATTATCTGTGTCAGGAGGA